ATAAATAAACTTTACTTACTTACAGTTAATAACTGAAACTGCACTTAATGATAACTAATGTACAGTTGATCAGTGATAGATTGGATTATAAGTGTTGCTTCTGCTTACATTGTTTATTAAAATGTGATCTGTAAATAACTGCACATGATTCAATTTCTTCTAAAAGGTACTTTTTTCGATACCACGTTTAAAACGATATGATACTGTCATTTGGTAGAATCGAAAGCACCGAAACGCATAAAAAAAAAAGATGTACAATCAGATTTTGAACCCACGGTTGCACAGATAAAACAGGGGAAGAACATTCATTCAATAGTGATGATAATTTCCACAAGTGTTGATGTGGGTTCAGTAACTTCAGTCATTTCAGAAGAGGTATTGAATATCATTTTACTATATTAGTGTTTAAAATTCTGGTATTGTGACGACTTTAGGAGTGAATGAGCCCCAATTATCTCCTTAAATATTCAACTTTGTGCACTTTCTTCAATGTTAAAAACACCATCGTTACTTCTGTAACTATATATGGACAGCTTGTGTAGCATAAACAGGTTTTGTGTAACAACTGAGCAACGAAATGCTCAAAGAATGAAGTGCGTGAGTGTGACTGTTGACACTAATAAAAACAGCCTTCTTCCTCCTTTTTAAGACAATGACATGTTGCNNACTTTACTTACTTACTTACTATAACATGTTCTTATGTTCCATTGTAGGCCACATATACTCTGTTAACATACTGTATCATCTGACATTAATCTGCTAAAGTTGTGTCTTCTGTATTCTTGATGAACAATATGCATGACACATCCACATTGTCTATGTTCAGCAAATTTCAAATCTCTGCTAGCAGATTGTCACACTTCAGTCAATACAGTACATACAGTTTGTAGAAATGCACACTGTGGGAAAAAAACATAAAAGCAACCCTTCTGTTAGGATAAAATGAAAAGGTTATCTTAAGTTTACCTAGAGAGATGCCATTTATCCATCTCCATAAGAAAACGCTCCCAAGAAAATGAGTGTGCCTCATGGACGTGTGCGCCTTTTGTTGTCATTTACGGCAAACGTTAGTCGTTTGATATGAATGCCTGTCATTATTTGTACAAATTATATTTTAGACTTTTATCTCGACGCGCTGATTTTACGCAAACAAATCAACGTTTTGAAAAAAATCTGAACTACTCCTAAAAACATTTAACATACATAGAAACGTATCCAAAATACAGCTGGAGGGATGACGTGTACGTACGGGTCCTTGGGACTTCCGGGTGTGCGTACACAGACTGTAAACGGAGTTGCCTCGCTCTAAAGATGTAAGTTTCTACCCTCGTTTTATTTCATTTGTCCCTGAATCTATTTCATGTCCATCAGCCAGTATTAATGTGCTAATAATGCTCATTGTATCTTCTTCATTAGGTCTAAAGTAACGTTTAAAATCACCCTGACGTCGGATCCCCGGCTGCCATATAAAGTGTGAGTTCACTGACAGCTCAGCAGACTCAGCTCTAACGTTACATTATCTACATTTAATTCATTTATTTTCTTCCATTTTCTACACATTTTCTCTTAGCACATCCGCAGGCTTTGGTATTTAGTGCTGTTTGTGGAAACGTGTGTTGATGTATTTAACTTGGGCAACATAAAATGTGCCCAGTGAGAGAACATCTGTTAGTGTAAAGCTGTGATTAAGAAAAGAAGAAGAAGATATACTTTATTAATCTCCAGCTAACTTCCGTTTATAGTGTAACTGCACAACCGCAGCGTTTTCTAAGTACCAATAATGCCACTGTGTCATTGAGCTCATTTATCTGTGTGAGTCCTGCAACAAAACCACGGCCAGGAAAATACAAATGATCATCACTGTAGGCAGATCTCTTGTGATCAGACCAGAGAGGACAGACAGGAGCAGCAGCTACAGACATATTCACAGACATGTTCACAG